ATCGTCTCTCCGTAGATCTTGACCAGGAACTGGCGAAGACGCCTTGCCGGCCACGACCCTTCATCGGTCTTCTCGCCTGTAATCCCGTCGCCACATTGCCCCGCGAACTCCGCCCATTGCTCGTAAATAGCGGGGCCCCACTCTAGCAGGTACTTGACCAAGGAGCGCATGGCACTGAAGGACTCCACCCCTGTGAGCCCGGGGGTGGAGTGGGCCGGTAAGGCGGGCCCCTCAGGCGGGGAGATGTCGGGGAACGGGGATTTGATGTCCCGCGCGGCATTTCTTGACCCACTGCTCTCCCCGCCCGTGCTGTCGTGGCCAGCGCTGATAGGGGGGTCGGCGCTCCGCCTACGGCTGGTTGCCTTGCGCGCGCATCCTGGGCGGCAGCGTTGAAACAGGCCGGGGCGAGGTAGATGCTGATGTCGTGGCACTCCGTCTGACCTTCTGTTGCCGCTGCCCGCTTGGCTGGTGCAGCGGGGCAAACGCTGGGCGTTTGCTGGTCCAGCATGCGGTCGAGCGTGCCTGGGGCCACGCTCCAAATGTGGATGAAGCACCGTCTGCAGGCCCAGCCTGCGTTCCACTGCTGTTGGGTCCAGAGGGTGGGCATGAGATCCCAGGGCGGTAGCCCTGTCTCGGCGCTGGCGGGTGCTCCGGGTTCAGGGCCCCGCAGAAAGCAGCCTAGTGCTGGGCTGGTTACCGACCACTCTAGTAGGGGCGATCATTCTGGGCAGGTATCGAATTTGGCGGAGTAGGTGCCCGCGCGGTGCGAGTCGAGCCCGAACCTTCCGTCAGACAGCTTGTGAGCTGGCAGGGTGGTGCCGATAGTCTGGGGTCTGTAGACCGCGGGGGCACTCATGCAGGCTGGTGGGGGTCTGCGCCGTGTCGGAGCGGCCATATCAGATCGGGAGAAGATGCAGGGACGGGAGTGTGCGAGGCCACTTCTTGTACCGTGCCTCGTCCAATATGCGTTTGTACGCCTGCAGACGCTGCTGAAGTGACTTCTTGTTGCCGCAGTCGTGAGCGGCGAGGGAGGCCTCGATGCCTCCCCTTTCCAAGGACTTGACCCAGCACTGGTCGCAGAGCCGCTTGCAGTTCTTGCTTCTTGCCTTACAAGTACGCCTGGGAACGGTTTTGTGCGAAGAAGTCCCTTGTGTCGTCGTCCTCCCAGGTGTCCGCTGTGCCCTCGATCCCTGTTTTGGGGCAGTCGTCTCCGTCGCAGTCGAAGCAGCCGTCTTCCTGCTCGACACGGAACCTGTCATCACCCACCCTTGGCGGGATGAGTAATGTTCCGGGGGCTGGGGAAGTGGGGGAGTCTTCGTCGAGCCGCCTGTTGGACATGGCGATTCCTCCTCCGATATCTTCCTGTCTGCCATAGAGTCTGGGCGTCCAAGCCCTTCATCCGACCTGCTGAGTTCCTTGTGGAGAGCGCAGATGGAGCACTTACCCTTGCCCAGGGACCTGACCACGGCCAGTTTGACTAGCTCCTCTAGGACCCTCATGGGGGCCTCCAGGGGGAACTTGCTCTTCAGCATGCCGGCCCACGTTGTTGGGCACCCATGGTCGGCTGCAACCTTGTGGTGGTGGGCGTACGTGGCGAGCGTGCTGATGTGCTTGATGGTGTCCTCGATTTTCCCGTGCAGGGATGAGAGATCACTCACCTGGAAACCCCAGGCGCTCGCAAACTTGGTTCTGTACTCCTAGTGGACGTTCTGCCAGGGAAAGCAGGTACCCATGGCTGCTTCAATGATATCCCCAGTGGCCTCTGGATGTGGGAAGGGCCAGAGTGTCGTCCGAGGCTCGCGTGGTTGGAGCATCATGACCGCCAGAAGGACCCTGAGCGTGGGGGTGTCCAGAGGGTGACCGTCGCTGCTGAGAAGGGAGCGTCTTCGCTCTGAGTTGGCCTGGCCTGTGCGAAGAAAGGACTTAAGGTGTTGCATCCCTGGGTGCGCGCGGTGTCGCCTGCATCTCCCAGCCTCTTGGCTCCATGCCCCTGGGAGCTGGTATAGGATGTTTGGGGGGGGGTGCAACGGCTGGCGCCCTTCGGGCGGTGGCTGACGCCCTTCACATTGGGCAGGGGGGGAGCGACACTTCTGGAATCGCTAGGCGCATGTTCCCCCATGGGGGTGCCCAGCCCGAGGAACCACACCAGGGCTGCCCACGTCAGGTTGTAGACGAGGTTGCTGGCGTCTATGCCCAGTTCGACGTCGCAGCAGGACCCTAGGTGGCTCCATGCCTTGCGGCCGAGTAGGCCCGGCTGCCTTGGTGTGTCGGCTATGGAGTACTGGTGGGGGTGTAAGCCAGACACGGTGAACAAGACAACCCCCATGGCGGGGTCTTCGACAAGCCTCTGTAGGCTGCTGCGTATGGCGTCACCAAGGCTGCTCCACGAGAACTCCGAGTCCAGCGGTGCTGCTATCCTGTCTGCGAAGTTCTTCTCCATTGAGGCTCGGGCTTTCACAATCGCGTTGTCCAGCCTTTGGATGACTTCGTCTCCTGTGTGTGAAGGGGACTCGGGGATCCAGGAGGTGAGATCCCTGATGGGGTCGAATCCTTCGTCGACCGTGAGTGTCCATCGACTGCCACAGTTCTCCGGATGTGCGAAGCGCACCCACAACTTGGCGAACCGGCCGTACTCAGATAGCTCACAGAGGCGCGATCCCGTGGCCGTGGCGAACATCCTCCCGTCACCGATGATAACCACGTTGTGCTGGTGGGGTTACGCGAAGCGTCTAGAATTGCTTCGCGGTTGACAGGGACGGCGGGGGCGCCCTCATATTGTCTGAGTTGCGCAAGGCCACCCTCTCTGTTAAAAAAACAAGCATGCACTTCGCGGTTAAATCTGGATCATGCGCGACCACCTGGCGATCACTCTCCGTTTGCCCTTGACCAGGACCACGGGGGTGCTGGCATACTGCCTGCTGTGTACAGGTCCACCAGGCAGGCACTATGATGGCCTCCCCGCCGAGATTGCGCACTGGCTTTCGACAAGGATGATGGGGGCCGAAATGTTCCCCGTCGTGTACTCTGCGCGTGCCCTGGACGTGGCGCACCTGGCGCGGCTGGACCGTGTGGCACACATGGCGCACGTGGAGCACGAGGCGCATCTGGCGCGCGAGGCGTGCCTGGCACGCTTGGGCCCAAGGGGGTGCCTGGCGCTCCTGCAGCGCCTGGCACGCGTGGCGCACCTCGTCCAATCGCGCATATGGGGTCTGCAATCCGTAGAGAACCGCTGATGTTCGGAGGGCGGGCGGAAGTGAGCGAGGCAATTTGCAGGCGGGGAGGACGCCTGGACCCCTCACCCTACCCCCTTCCCCTGGACGTGGACGAGGGGGCGGCGGCGCGTTAGAGCGTCCAAAACGGCCTCGGCGAAGACTCAAAACACTGATGTTGTGCTCTTTTGGGCTTCCTGGGGAGGGGAGGGGGACGTTCATTGAGTACCCCCCTTCTTTGATCGATCTCCTTAACTATGGCCCCAAGATGGCCCCCTAAGGCTGCCAAGAGTCCCCCACGAGGGCCCTAAGAGGCGCCCAGGAGGCCCCAAGAGGCCCCCAAGAGGCTCCCAAGAGACCTCCAAGAGGCCCCAAGAAGCTCCCCCGAGGCACGCAAGTCGATCCAAGAGGCCCACGGGACCGCCAAGAGACCCCCAAGAGGTCCCGATCGGCCTCCAAGAAACTATCAAGAGACAGAGACTCTGACAGGCAACCAAGAGGACTCTGGCCTTCCTGCTCGCCCTCCTCCGTTTTCTCCTCCGCATCATCTTCCTCATCTCCAGAGACCCTAGAGAGGCTCAAAACTGCGTCTTCATTTCAATTGTCTTCACGCTGCGCTGCTGCTTTGGCGCGGTGGCGGGTTCGCCGCAGGCGATATGATATTACATATGCACGAGTACATACGCGCATACATAGATACACACAGAAGGAGAGAGAGAGAGAGAGAGAAGGACAGGGGGAGAGAGAGAGAGAGAGAACGCGCGGGAAGGTGAGAAAGAGAGAGAGGAAAACAAATATAGAAACCAACATGACGAAATAACGAGAAATCCGCAATCGCGCCTTCAGCATGTAGCGGGGCGCCCCGAAACTGACGAAGCCCTGATACGTAATGTGTGCCTAAGGTTCTTCATGGCTCCGAACCTCGGTCTCCCAGGCGCTCTTGGGCGTTACTGGGCGCGCCCAGGGTGTTTGGCGTGGGCCTCTGGGGCGGTGACCCCGTCCAAAAAGACAGTAAACAGACCACAGAATTCACATGAAGCGCCCAAGAGACTCCAAGAGCGCCCCGAAACGGCCCCAAGACTGGCTACGATGCCCTCCAGGCAGCCCCACAGGCCTCCAAGCCGCCGCAGAAGGCATGCGAGAGCACTCCTAAGAGAGCTGTGGAAAGCAACATCGATCGATGATGTGCTTGAAGAAATATAATGTCCTCCCCCGACGCTCCAAGACGGCCCATGAAACCGGCAAAGACGGGCCGAAGGGGCCTTCAAGAGGCCCCCCCCACAAGCTCAGGACGGCGCCAAGACGGCCCAAGGGGCTTCCAAGATGGCCCCAAGAAGGGGGGCCCGAACTGATATTCCCTGCTGAGGCCTCAAGAGGCCTACAAGAAACGCTCAAGGGACATCCTAGGAAACGGGCGAACTCGCTCCACCAACTCTGAACTGTATGATGTACGATACTACTCTTGTGCTACCCGAATTACGCACCAATCAAATGAAAGAGGTTCCCTTCCGAAACTGGGCAATCGCCAAAAGGGCATGCACGTATGATGATGGTGTTTTGAGGGGGCGCGTCTTGCAGTGAAAAGGAAAGCCTGTAGTGACGCGTATGGACATAATTATGAGAGGAGGGGTCTTGGGACGGGAAGGTGTGTTGCAACATCGCTGATGCATCTTGAAACTTAGTCTGGTGCTCCTCCTCCTCCTCCTCCTCCCTCCCTCCCTCCCTCCCTCGACGATCGCACCTCCAATCTCTAACCCGGGCTCTCGACGCTTCCTGCCCCTCCCCCTGGGCCTGGTCCATGATGTCTATCTTCGTGACCACGCCGATGGTCCTCATGCCCTGGGGGTCCACCTGACGAGCCAGCTGGAGAGCGTCGGACACAGACATGTCCTGGGCATCGGGGTCGTCGTCGTCGGGGGCGGCGTCGGCGTTCTCGTCGTCTTCGTCGTCGGCCACGTGGTCGTCGTCGTCGTCGTCCTACTCCACTCATTCCTCCTCCTCCTCCTCCTCCTCCTCCTCTCCTCCTCCTCCCTGATTCCCCTAACTCTCTACCTCCACCACCCGCGCCCGTGCGCTACCCTCTACCCAGGAGCATGCGGGACGAAGGAGCGGCCAGGAATCCAAAGGAAGAAAGCGCCATCGCCGCTGAAACCTCAAGCCTCAAAGAAGCAATTTACGGGACCCCAGGAGAATTCCGGAATTTGCACCCTGGGCATCGGGGTCGTCGTCGTCGGGGGCGGCGTCGGCGCTCGCGTCGTCTTCGTCGTCGGCCACGTGGTCGTCGTCGTCGTTGTCCTCCCCCTGACCATCCTCCAACCTCCTGCCTCTTCCCTCCTCCACTCATTCCTCCTCCTCCTCCTCCTCCTCCTGCTGCTCCCTGGTTCCCCTAACCCTCTACCTCCACCCCCCGTGCCCGCGCGCTACCCTCTACCTATGAGCATGGGGGCAGGAATCCAAAGGAAGAAAGCGCCATCGCTGCTGAAGCCTCAGGCCTCAAGGTGGCAATTTACGGGACCCCAGGAGATTCCGAGGTTTGCATCCCGATCGGAGCCCGTCGTGAAGAGAGACCGCATGGGAGTCGTGGAATTCTGGGAAATTCTTGGAACGCGTCATTATGGTGACATCATACTGCTCTGAGGCCCGATGTTTTACAGAGGGGACGGCCCGCGACGGAAAACGGGCGCCGAGAACGGGGATCGAAAACTCATTGGTCTCTACGCCACGAAAGAAGCCAGGACGTCGGAGGCGGGCAGGTAGGCAAGCAGGGAGAGACAGAGAATGAATCGAATCGGACGAAACGGGATGGTGAAAAGGGGGGTTCGCGATTCAGCTCATGGAGCTGGTTTTCCCGGCGCCTTCAGGCGCCGGAGGCGTTAGTGTGCCCAGGAAGGCACCCGCTGGCAGAGCCGAAACCCGCTGCACGCAACCAACAGATTTCGTACAACCTTTTCCCGCTCCCCTTTCGTCCGACCCGAAAGGAGTACAGCCAACAGTTGCCACAAGCCACTGGCGCCCAGATAACACGAGGAACGCCAAAAGAGAACCCGTGGGCGGCGCCGCGCGCGAACCTGGCCGCCTGCGCCGCTTCCATCTGCTGCAGCGGCCTCCCCGTCTGCTCTCCCCCTCATCCCACCCCACGCCCCTCACCCCACGCCTCTCACGCGTGGCAGTCGGAACACAGGAACAATAGGTTGCGCTGGTCGCAGCGGCACTAGCAGAAATGGCAAACAAGCCTCCGGCAGGTCCCGATCTTTCCCAAGCATCTGCTCTCGACTCTCGGCCTGGGGGAGGCAGAACCTCCCGAACGCCCAGCGCTAGTCGGCAACGGACAGCCAGCTCGTGGCCGAAACGACTGGCGCTGCTGGCGACAGTAGGTCGTGACGGTATAGACACCTCTGGTCGCTTCTTGGCGTCAAGCCCCATCGGCAAGTCGGATCTCCTCGGCGGCCGAGCCGCTAACGGAGGCGGCGGGGGGGTCCCAGGCCGCGACCTGGATTCCGCCCGGCTTCGCACTGGGGTCGGGGGGCAAGTCCCCAACGCCAATTCGACCGCCGGGCTCTGGAGCCGCCGTCTCGACACCCACGTCCACATCCAGGCCTCGCCCCCACTCGGTGCGACGCACAGGCCGCTGGAGGCCGCGCCCCCACTCGGCCGAACGTAGGGCCCAGGTTGGGCCGGGGCGGCCGACGGCAGCACCCTGCCCCGCTTGCTTTCCCTCGCCTGGCCGAGGGGGAAGACCTGAAGCCGCCCGAGGTAGCGCTGCTCAACGTGGGCTGCCGCAAGCACCACATAGCACAGGCGGATGCCTGAACTCTGAAAGGCTGCCGTGCGCGGCCAACGGGTCTCCTTGGCAGGCTGACTAATAGCACCATGGTGATGCTCCAGCGACGGAGTAGCAGTGGAGATGTTTCTGGGAGACAGACGGTCGGATAGCTCGGGAGCCCGCTCTCAATGGTATCCACGTATTCGCTCGGATTCGCTCGGCCGGGGGCCTGGTTGATCAATAGCAACAGGCCCCTCCTCCGCGAGGCCAGCGTCTCATACACTGGTCACCGTGAAATGGCCTTGGGCGACGGCGCCGGCGTAAGCCGCACTCGAATTCAATTCTGGCCTCGGTGCTGGCGAGAGCCGAGCTCGCACCCGGCGCGCCAATTTACGTGTAACTCTGGAAACCTGGGAGATAATCATTCGACATAGGGGTTGTCGAGCGAGTCGCCCTCGCTGTCCGATGAGGAGGCGACGCGAATAGGTATGGTCCCGATCGGATCTCGGCCCTGGGTGTCAATCCTGCAATTGTTGACGAAGCGCCCCTGGGGTCCTTCAGGATACATCAGAATGATGTCGTGTCGATTGATAGTGGGAAAAGACACATTGTCGGTCTCGTTTGCCTGGTAGTCCCTGGTTGGATTGTCACCGATCTGTCTGACTACCAGATCATCGTGCATGACGATATCCGGAAAGCTGGTCAGTTTCGCAATTCGGCTGCTTGCCAGCGCTTTCCAAGGCTATATGGTGACTGCGTTCTTCCATCATATCTTAGCTCATCACCCTCGTCCCCCATCACGGCCATATCGAAACCCAGAAGAGGGGCATCATCCGTTTCAATCGACATGACTGGCTAGTTCTCCAAGCTACCCCTGGCAAAGCACGCGCGCGCCGGCCCGGGCGAGGGGGGAGGTTAGGAGGAGAAGGCCTGCTCAGAATGGCGCGGTGCGATGCGATGCGATGCGACCACCGTTGCGGACAGCGTCCTGACCTAGAGCAGACCAGGTGTGTATGGCCATGGCCTCTAGGATCTGAGGTGTCTGGATTCATGCAGTGCGGGACATTAGAAAGTTAGGAGGAGAGGGGGAGGAGGAAAAGAAAGTCCTTGGTGTCGGTGTCGGCGCGGGTTGGGCGAGATTACGTCATTGGTCTGGGTCCCGGGTGCTAGTCGACGTGAGGTCGGTGAAGTGGTGCTCGAGCGCTGTCCATGCTTCGGTGTCTTGGGCTGTTTGCGTCCATGTGATGTCGTTCGGTTGTCCTTTCGAATGGGCGTGAGTGGGCGGACGGTGGAGTTCTGGTCTGCGTTGACGTAAGCAAGTGGTGAGTTCGTCGTCCCACCGCTTGTTTTGGCCACCGTGCTGTCTGTGTCCCCGCTGGCGCGGGTTGAGGACTGGGTGCCAGCGCAGCACTCGCCATGTCCACCTCGTCCAGTCGTGGTTTGCGACTCGTGAAGCCATGCGCCAGACTTTCCGTTTGCGTTGCGTCTCCCAATTGTCGACGCGGTTGAGCTTCATGAGGTGCTCTGCGCGTCGTGTCGCTCGCTGGATGTAGTCGACCCATGGTTCCATTCCGTTTGCGGTGGTGCTGTCTTCGCCGTCTTCGCTGTGCCTGTCAGGCGTGTCAGGTGCATCACGCTGTGATGGGTTGCGGTCTGCGTCGTCGCCAGTGTTGTTGGTGCCGTCTTCGTGGTTTTGTGTTTCGTCGTTCGCGCTGTCGAGATTCGGTCCCTGGCCGCTGTGAGGGCCGGCTTCTTTTGTTGTGCGTCTCCGTGGCGTTCGGATGACCATGCGAAGCATACGTCGTTGTGATCGTCGTAGATGCTGCCGTAGAGGTTCCGTGAGGGTCCACGTCTCTGCTCCGTTGTTGAAAAGTCGGAGTCGGTGAGCAAGTAGGTAGTGTTCGCTGGTCAGCTCCTGCTTGCGAGTCGCGAGTGATGCCCATGCAGCTCGCGTGCGGTCGTGGATGTCCGTTTCCATCGGTCCGTGGAAGCTGATCAATTGGCCAAAGTATTTGATACTGCCTTCGTATGGAACGATTCCTACGTCCATGTTTTGGAAACGTGCTGTGCGTGAGCTCGCCCTTCCGGTCCTTCTCAGAACGCCTCCGACCTTCTCAGAACGCCTCCGGCCTTCTGCGAGGCTTGCTGCGTTTTCGGTAAAGGTTTAGACAACTTGTGAATGCCGGGAGACTTCCGAGCCGTCTGAGAAGGCCGCCCTCGGGCTCGCCGCCGATCTCCTTCGCCACTCCTCCTCGCCCCTCATCCTCCTCATTTTCTCCTCCTCATCGATCATTTTCCTCCTCCCCCATATCCTCATCCACCTCCTCCTCCCCCTCCTCCTCCTCCTCCTCCTCTGTCCGCCCTCTCTTCCTCCTGCTCGCCCCTCCTTCTCCCCCAAGCCACTGCTCCCCGCCCTCCCCCGCCTCCTCCTCCTCCTCCTCCTCCTCCTCCTCCTCCTCCTCCTCCTCCTCAACCTCCTCCTCCTCAACCTCCTCCTCCTCCTCCTCCTCAACCTCCTCCTCCTCCTCCTCCTCGTCGATCCTCTCTCTCGACCATCATTTGCCTCCTCGACGCAGCCCAAGGCGACCAGGTTCAATCGAGACCACCTGCACAAAGACCCCGACGCCCCGCGACGCCCTGGAGCCAGGCGCCGCACCCCCCTGGCGGGGCCCGACGGGGGGGAAAAAGGATGACGACGAGAGAAGATAAGAGAAAGAGGCACCAGGCTCACCACGTAGATCGTGATGAGCACCACCAACCCGCCGAAGGCGGGCGGCCCCATGCCTCCCTGGCTCTACACGAGCGCCAGGGGACACAGGTTACCCCACGTCGCCGTGCGGGGCACACGGCGCGTGTTTCCGCGCATGGGTAACCTGGTACGCCCCCACAGGCCCCCTTGCCCAAGGGGGGCCAGCCCTTGCCCAAGGGGGGCCCCTGCACGTCTTGAGCCGTGCCCGCAGGCCGACGCCCCAGCCACGCCCTTGCCCCGCGACGTCACGGGAGGGCCAATACAATGGCTGGGGCCTTCCCCCACAAAAGCAAGTACCACGCAGGCCGACGCGGACCGAGATACACGCCGGCCCAGGGGGGTACCCTCGCGGCCCCAGAACGCCAAGTCCCCGAGGGA